AGAATTCTATCTCGTATAAAAGCTATCGTAAAGCCACAAAACCGTCATCTACATATTTAAGCCAAAATGCAGGCTTATATAAAGAAGTGACTAAGGCATGTTGTTCTGTGCAATGCAAAAAAAAGAGAACCTAATAATGGATTTCCCAACTCATGTCCATGTAATTGAACGAGGTACGAATCTCTGTATTGAATGCAGATAAATGTGGCTAGTTGTAAGAGTTCGATTAGGTATTCCTGTGTCAGGTTGATTTTCTTTTGGGGGTCTTGTGAACTCATTTCTGGAGTAAGTTGTATTGCCTCATGACGTGTTTTTTTAACTGGGTGCTTATTTAGGAAACATAAGGCTCCAAAATCCAATTAAAATATTTACCAAGATTGTAGTTGAAAGAGTTATAAGAAGACATAGTTGGGCATAAAGTTACTGGGTTTTTATAAACTTTCGGTAAACCATAGATTCTAGGTTTCTCAGTTGGTTTGTATGCAAAACATTGTAAAGTTTAAAAGTAATAGTATTTTGAGTAGTGTGCGGCTTTACTCGTCAAGATGAACAAACAAAATTCCTTCAACACATAAAACAACCTACACAAAGACATGCAATTCACAGCTTAAAATAAAAATGACTACACGATAAATTTTCTAAACGTTAGCACCACACAAACTTCCCAAGGTTTTATCATTAAAATTCGTCAAAAAAAGACATACAGTGAAAATTACATAAACGGGTTTTCTAATCATGTAATGCACGAGAAGCTAGGAACTCTAACAAGCCTCCTAAATTTAGCATATACTATATGCACCACAGTAAAAATTGATGAAGAAGTTACACACATAACTCAATGCCTTACTAACATAAACCAAGTCCCTACTACAACAGTTACACAAAGTATTAACTAATATCAAAAACACGGGTAAGACACGTTTAATAACTATACGGACTTCAAAAAACAAAGGAAACATAATTACTTGCATAATCCCATATATATATAAAATATTAGCACACCTTTTGTCAAAAACTTGGAAAAGACTAAGACATAAATTTAACATTAACATAACGTCTAGATTTGTTTCACCCCTGGAATAAAAATAATACGTGTTTACAAAATTTTATAATGAATAAATCGCCAGGAAACATTTACAAAATAAAATGTAAAAATTGCTCAACCTTTTACAGAGATGAAACAAGACGTATCTTAAACATTAGGTTGAAACAAAACAAAAAAAAACCCTTCCTAAGTCCATGAAAATATAAAAAAAAATTAAAAAAATTCTGAACAGAATGTTCCCATACTAAAACATGAACCATACATTAACAGACGAAAAATCAGAGGAGCCTTATTAATAAAATCAAACAAAATTAACAAATGTCCAAGTACATCTCTATAGGTCCTTGATCGGTATTTTCCCAGAAACTCCTAAGCTTATGCAAATATTTCGCACAACGTTTCCACATTTTCCTGTTAATTCAGCTTTTGATTGTTTTTTCCGTTCAATCATAGATAAATAATCTGTCAATTGAAGGAGATTGATATGCACATACATCAGTAACCACTATCAATTCTAAAATTAAAATGCACTGTTAGATTGTTGAATGTTGATTTCAATACTAAAACCGTCTTCACATTTAAAACTTGTATTCTTGAGAATTATAGCACCAGTGATTGAAGCTTCGTACCTGTTTTGAAAATATTCTTCCTTACTGAAAAACCTGTAACTTGTAATAAAAATTCTTATAATATGTTCTCCTACAATTAAAAGATCTCACTACAGTCTTATTTGATGTTCGTCTGCAATACTGTCCCATAATATGGTTTCTTACAATTAAAAAATTACACTACAGTATAATGATCTGTTCTCCTGCAATTGACATGTCACATTACCATGAAAGATCATTCTACTATCTTATGGTCTTCTACAACTGAAAGATCACACTACCTTCTCATGAAAAGAACACCTATAAAAATTGAAAGATCACACTACCTTCTCATGAAAAGAACACCTATAAAAATTGAAAGATCACACTACCTTCTCATGAAAAGAACACCTATAAAAATTGAAAGATCACACTACCTTCTCATGAAAAGAACACCTATAAAAATTGAAAGATCAAACTACTGTACCATGTTATATTCTCCTACAATAGAAAGAACACATTACCGTCTCATTTGATGTTCTCCATCAACTTGAAAGATCACTCCACCGTTACATGATATTTTTCCCACTACTGAAAGAACACACTACCGTATCATGAATATTCTCCAATTATCGAAGAAGTTTGGTGTGGAACGGCCTTCTTAAGAAGTGTTAGAGGACATTCTCTATGAATGCTATTTTTGAGGATGATGAATGAGACACTATTATTATTATTCAGCTACGATACGCATCAGTTCCTAAGGATGGACTTTGTGATTTAAGTGAAGTATATTGAACTCTTTTTAAAGTGGACACTAAAGATTTTATATACACTCAGATTTGAAGAAAAATACATATATTACTAAAAATATAGGTTTACTGTGGCTAGTAAAAGTCATCTCAAACTACCACCCATGTAAACTCCTAGTTAGTTTTGAAAACTGTCCTCCGGTTTAACAGCAGTAAGTCTAAGGACTTATTACGCTAAGATCCGGAGTTCGATTCCTCGCGGTGGATACAGCAGATAACCCAAAGTGGCTTTGCTCTAAAACAAATAAACAAACTTAAAAACTAATGCTCTTTCTTATTTAAAGTATTCTTTACTTAAATTTACTAACATTCTCCTGAATTAAATATACGTTATATTTTGTAGTGCCAAAATTTAGTTGAACCAATGTCATATTAGCCGCTGCAATATGCAGACATTAACATGAATATACAGGTTCTGGATATTATTACATTGTACACGTATAAATGTAACTGTTAAGTGTTGAAACTTTTTAGAAGGGCCATTTGTTCTTATTAGAACAGGATAAAAACTGGAATGGATTGTTGTTGTTATAAGGAGCTTCAAACATGAAGAAGACGAAGCCATTGTTAAACAGGAGGTTTGTCTCGAGCTGCAAATGTTCTTACGCATGAAATGAGCTTTTCGCTTTGGTATTAACTACATTAGATAAAACAAAAGTTACTATGGTTTTATTTTTTGCTTTCACATTTTTTTTTTTTACTTATTAACTTGAAATCTTAAAACAAGCAGAGTATTGTTACACTGTTATTTTTATGCGTGTGGTAAAACGACAGTCTATCCATACGGTATGTTTACTTAAGCTGTTTTTTTAAGTTCTTTAGACTTAAATCACTATGTGTAGATTATGTTCCTGATGATACCGATAGACGAAATACCGGACACTATTGAATGAAAACAATTACCAATGTTTTTTTATTATTAGTTGAAAATGTTACTTTTTTAAGAGTTAGAAAGTAAAATTGTGACTCTTTCAAAATAATTTTCTATTTTTTTTCTTAGAGGTTTATGAGCCTCTAGTACTTGATATGTTGTTCAAAAATTAACTTCTAATAATCAAGTAAAGCTCTTGTTTTATGCATACCAGGTTATTGTATCAAAATTATGAAATCATTTTTGTTTTTTAATAAACCACAAACTTGTTCGATAAATTAAAGTAAAAAAAAAATTAATTTCCATTTAATCATCATATTTATTAAAAAATATTAACCCAACCTTGTAATACATCAGAAACCGATTTTGGTTTCACTAGGGATTTCAGACTTTTGTGCAAAAAGTTAGACTCAATTAGGTTTTACATTGACATTAATATTATCATTGATTAATGAGTGCTCAATTTTAAAAAAGTGAATTACAAGGTATCTTAGTAAGGCGCTCTTCACTTAAAAAAATGCACATTGTTTTCTTATATGTGTGCCTAATAACCTTTGAAATTTAGTGATGCAGAAAACTCTAATATTTCTACTTTTTTCCTTCAATTTCATTACGTCCTGACATAAAAAAATAAAGTTGAAATGTATGATGAATCAACTATTTTTACATAAATGTCACCTATGAAAATGTCAAACCTTAATCACAATTTGATATGAAAAGATGAATTAGTGAAAACAGTTTTTTAATGAAAACCTTCCGATAATGATAAAAATCTCGTACGGAAAGTATCGATATTAAAACGGTAGAGATAGTTTGAGATAATGATAAATTCCTATAAGAAACTATGCATTTTGTAAATATACAAACACGTATTATTCTTCAATCTAGTTGTAAGGGAAAGGAGCTTTAGGCTTAAGTATTTTCGTGAATGGAAATTATCTACTATCAAAGTATCTTGGCAGTAAATTAATATTAGTTTTGCTTAAATACTTTCACAAAAAGCTTACATAATTTTTTCCTTGATGATATTGGTGCGTCGACTTGATATTATACAACTGTAAGTTTCTTTGATAACAAACAACAGTTAACACAAAAGCTGTTAAAAATTTAGCAAAAAGCATTTTCGGGAGAGATAAAAACGAAAATACTAATTATTACAAGCGTGTCTGGCATTAAAGGTAATTAAATCTGTTGTAAAAAATGGCAAAATTAAATCATAAAATGATATACTTAATTACAATTATAAATTAATAAATATAATTAAGTATTCAAAGTGAAATTTCAACATGTGGTATTTAAAACATTTAAATATTTTATTTTATTCTAAATGGATTGATTATTTGGTTTTTAATATTTATTAATTTTCCAGAAAATGTTTGTTTGTTTTAAGCGCATAGTTGCACAATGAACAACCTGGGCTGTGGCCACCCTGGAGAATCGAGCCCCGAACTTTAGTATTTTAAGCTCTCAAGTTAAGGCACCGAGAAGCTGGATAAAAAAGACGCTGAATTTTTCTGATACATTTATTCAATTAAAACAGGCATTAGTGCATTTATAATGTTACTTAGAGCAATACATGAAGCTTAGAGAAATGAATCTAATCTGGCAAGCCTCCCCATGGTGTTGACACTAATGTAAGCTGCCATGTTGGAATAAAAGTAATGAAGTGTTGAGAAAACACTACTTACCCACAATAAAAAGTTGAAAGTGAAAATAATATATTTCATGAATGACAAAGCGGAGTCCATGGTTACGAGGTTTTAGAAAATTCAGGTTTATAATAAAAAATTTTCCCTAGGAAACTAGTGTTTCAGAAAAGTAAATGTTGCATTTGCGAGAAGCCTTTGAGATCATGCACAATAGATTATAGTTGGGCAAAGGGCATCAACGTTCGAGGTTATCAGATGTTGCTAGGTTACCTGATAATAAGTACTGCATATATATATATATACGTGACTATTCTGATCTAGGCAACACTGTGAAAGATATCGAAATAACGAGGTGTTCGCTTACACTGCTACAAAAATCTGTTGATTACAAATTGATATTGTTTTCAAGTGGTTTTCAAAACCAGGTACGTGTGGCTTATTGGAGGAGCGTTGGTAAATATATATATAAAAATATCAAAATTATAGGTACTTTTCAACTTGTAAAATCTATGCAGTCCACTAGGCATTAACATTTATGCGGTTGTAAAATGTAATCCTACTTTATGATTAGATACACACATGGCGTGCGCATATAATAACGCATTTTCTGCTAATAATAAATAAATAAATATGGGAGCTGTGATGAAAGTACATTCAATGTATTTAGTACTCCGTTCATTTACGAAACAAACAACAAATAACATTTGATTACAAAAGAAAAATCATTTATACAATATATGAGGACAACCTTTAATAATTAGAATTTGTTAGTTTTATAAAAATATTATTACAACTGAGAAAACAAAATAGTTTATTTAATATTACACTTTCTTTTCTTGAAAGATTCCGTTTAAAATCGTACGTTGAATCTATCCAAACATCGTTTTTTGCTTCTGACAAACAACATTATGCTTAGAGGTTTCCCATAAAACTAATATTTTTCCAGCGGATTTACTCTATGGGGAAGTAAAGCAGCAGCCTATGAATATTAAGTCGAACATCTATACCTAGTCTTACTACTTCCTGTCTTTAGTTGTGCTGAAATTCAGTTAATAATTGTAGTTGATGTTTCTTTTTTAAACATCTAAATCTTAACATAAGTTGGAAGAAATAACATTAATTTTCGTAAGCTAAATCTTGCAATTTAAACTGATGATATTACTAGTTTTTATCATTCATGTTTAGGTTCATAAACTATGCTGTTACAATTTCCAATCAGGGTCGTGCTCAGAAGAAGGGAACGTTTAATGGTTTAGCACGCAGCATTTTGTTGACTCCTTTGTAGCCAATGCTAATCAATTGTCACAGTTTTTCTTTTCTTTTGCTTTCTTATCGATGATTTGTGTAAATTACAACTCAAATAATGAAGCATTTTGAAGTCACGTGTTTCTTGAGAAGTGGTTACAGTTTGAGTCCCTTTACTGTTTTCATGATTCAGATAATTCAACACCTACTTATGTGGATTAATTTTACATTTGTTATCATCCTAATTCCCGCTTCTATGACTAACAAATAGGACACCTCACTTTATTGTCTCTTAACATTCCTCCCTAAGCGACATGTATTGATATTTTTAAAAGAGTGTTGAAGTTAATCATTTATTTTTCTTCAGAATTCTTTGTTAAATCTGATAATGTTATGATTGTGCGTGAGATGATTTAACATTGAAAAGCCATTGAAACTATTCTTCGGTTGATAAGAATTAATGCAGATATAAAGAACTTTCAACACATTTCAAACAAAATAAATCCTATTATTAGCGCCCCCTAGTGGTAAAGCGGTATGTCTGCGGATTTACAACGCTAGAAACCGGGTTTCGATACCCGTGGTGGGCAGAGCACAGATAGCCAATTGTGTAGCTTTTTGCTTAACTTCAGACAAAACAAATTATTATTGGCGTTGACCAACGATCACCAGCATAACGTTAGTATGTTGTTAGTGTGATGTTATAAAAACGTATGGGTTCAAGAAATCGATATAATACAAAGATACAATATCCTATAACCCAAGCGATTTCTACAGCTGGATCTTTGTTATTCGGAGGAAAACTTAATTTATAATGTTGATATGATCAGGGATATGTGAGAATTTCCCTTCGTAAATTAGGTGGCTTGATTGCCATCTAGTGATGACTTTTCTAATTAAAGAGGCTAACACTCGCGGGCGAATTTAATATGTCTCCAGCACGCAATCCCAACATGGCCAATTCTAACACCAGAAAAATCGAAACCTTTCTATTTCACTCCTTGGGACCTGCAAGAAGGTCAGTTGGTTGACATACCAATGAATAGTTCACGAAAACCACAAATTGTGCTTTTCTGGCTGGAAAACTGAGAAAAAGACAAAAACAAATTCAAAATTGTCTTTATTTCTGTTTGGGACCTGTAAAAAACTGTCTTTTTTTACCAAGTCTTATGTAAAAGTACAACGGAGAATTGTCAAAAAACCCTAAAATCATGCTTTTTGATGAGCTCTGTCCCCCTAAAAAGACTTTTTGTAAGTCAATGTGTTTGGCGCATAAAAATTTATATTTGTGCTAATTTTCATCTTGATTGCTGTTATTATGACCGCACAGGAGCCCAAAATATACATTTTTGGGTTGTTCCATATTTGACCCCATAATATCCTCATAAAAGGTTAAGTAAAAAAATGAAAAAGTTGTTTCATTGTATTGCACCCTACCAAGTTTCAAATCAATCCGCGAAAAATGAAGGAATGGCGGTCGATTGAAAAGTGTTTAGAAGAAGAAGAAAGAAAAGAAAACCAATATCTTTCTCTGTGAAGACATAATTGAGTGAGAAAATGTCTTGAGATTTATTTCGAATTTAAATCAATCTATTCAATAAATATAAGTTGAAATAATTAAAAACT